AGTCTTTAATTCATGTCAGATTACTTTCCAGTGTTCTTATTACCTAAACAGTTCTTTCCTAGGTAATTAATATTTTGGGGCTTATTAGAGACTGGGTTGTGAATTCACTTGTTTCTAACTTCAACTTTTAAAACATTTGCTTGATATTCTAGATCTTTTAATCCTCCAAAATAATTTTGTCATTATTTTGTCTAATGCTGCAAAATGTCCCTTTGGTGATTTGGTATAGCACAAAGTCTGTAAATGAATTTTGATTTAACATTATTATTATTATTGTATTGACAGGGTCTAGCCATACATTCTGAATATTCCTCCAGATATTTAAGTTCTTCTTTATTTATTTAAGGAGTATTTTATAATTGGATCTATACAGGAATTGATTGTATTTTGATTACTAACTCCAAGATATTTTATGTATTTTGCATTTATTTTGAATGGCATTTTCATTTCTGTCATTTTTCCTGTATTTTGTAATTCTGGTGATATTTGTAGGTTAACTTTGTAGGCTGAACCTTTGTAGAAGTTATTGTCTCAATTAGTTTCTTTGACGATTCACCAAGATTTTCTAAGTAAACTATTATTAGCATATAGAGATAGCTTTGTTTTTTTCTCTATATTTATTCCTTTAATTTATTTGTCTTATTGTTTTGTTATCATTTCTATATCAAATAATAATGTTGAAAGAAGATAACCTTGCTTTATTTCTGCATTGGAAAAGCTTTTAGTGTTTCCCCATTTCATATAATACTTGCTTCTTTTAGTTATAGATGTATTCTTATTATATTAAAAAAGAGAGATCTTTCTATGTGTATACTTCATAGGGTTTTATTGCATTTTATTTCTTAGCATAAATGCATATTTTTGTTGTTCACTTGTTTTAGTTGTGTCAGACACTTTGTGATCCCATTTGGGATTTTTGTGGAAAAGATATTGTCACGGTTGGCCATTTCCTTCTCCAGCTCGCTTGTTTAGGGTCACACAGCTAGTAAGAATTTGAGGCCAGATTTGAACTCAAGAAGATGAGTCTTCCTCACTCTAGGCCTGGCATTCTATCCATGGCACCAAATAGCTACCCTGTCAAAGGAATTTTTCTGCATCTGTTGAGATACATATGTAGTTTGATGTTTTTGTTTTTATTATAATTAATTATGTTTATTGTTTTTGCTAATGTTGAGGCACCCTTGCATTCTCAGTATAAATCTAACTTAATCATAAAGAATTATTTTAGTGATGAATTTTTATAATCTGTTTGATAGCTTGGGAAACCACTTTTAGAAAGGATATTGACAAGCTAAGAGGGAGTCAGATGAAGTTGAGTAGTGCAGCATCCCAATACTGTGTTGAATTCTTTATAGGACAAATAGCTTCAATACAGCTAAGCATTGTAGTAAATATAGTTCTGTGTCTGGAATTCTCTAAGTTTAACTGTTTACTTAGTATGTATCTTATGTCCTTGTATGTATTTTCTCTTCCACTGACTATGAGCTCTTTGAGGTTAATTGCTACTTTTTCTTTTTGCTTTGTGTCTTCAGAGCTTAGCTCTGCCTGTCCCGTATCCTCTCATCTTCTCAGGAACTTGAAAGTTGTAAAAACCATACAATCTCACCCTACTTCTTTAAATTAGACTAACTGGTCACTTTGGAGGATATAATACTATTTTGGTACAGTTTGGACTGAAGACTTCTAAAGTTTCATTCAGCTCTGAAATTCTGTGATTCCATAACCAGCAGCTATGTGAAAACTTTGCTGGTTGCATTTGAAATTTGTGACTAATAATAATAATAATAATAATAATAATAACAATATAGAGAGCATTTAAAGTTTTTTTTTTAAATCATTTTCAGTTGTGTTCAACTCTTTGTGACCTCACTTGGGGTTTTCTTGACAAAGACTCTGTCTTTTCCTTCTCTAGCTCATTTTATGGATGAGGAAACTGAGGAAAAGAGGGTCAAGTGACCTGCCCAGGGTCAAACAGCTAGTAAGTGTCTGAGGCCATATTTGAACTCATGAAGAATGAGTCTTCTTGATTTAGGTCTGGCACTCTATTCACTGTGCCACATAGCTGAGTATTTTTAATACTCACAACAGCCCTTTGAATTAAGTTCTATTATTATTTCCATTTTGCAGATGAGGTCAATGAGATTGAGAGTGGTTAAATGATTTGCCTGGAATCACACATCTAGGAAATATCTGAAGCAGAATTTGAAATCTTGTCTTTCTTTAGCCAAGTCTACAAATCTAGCCACTGTGCCACAAATCTCAAAACAGCAATTTTGAAAATTGCTTGGATGACATTTTTTGGAATTATCCTGATATGTACATTGGCTAAGATGAGATGAAGTGTCATAGGCATAGCTAACTGTAGTCTGCTAAGTAGTTCCTGTGGAAGTTATTTTCATTTTCATGTATCTCCACTGCAGAATATGTAATAGGCCTTGCAAATATCAAGAGGGGTTGGTTTTGTCCAAGAGTCATGGAAGAATCATTAGGGATGCAGAAGAACCCTGATGTGACAGTAGGTAAACAATACTTAGTTACTATGGACTTAACAAACTTAACAAGAGACATACTCCCTACTCCAACCACAGTTATACTATGCTGATGGTAAATATTTATATAGACTTTGTGCGAGTGTGTGTGAGAGACAGAGAGGTTCCGTAGTAGATCAATGATGTTTGAATACTGTAATGGTATTACATGTCATCAAATTTAAAAGCATCTTCATGATCTTTTGATGGTAGAGGAGGCTAACCACTTGAGTTCAGCTCAAAAGGAAAACTAAATCCAGACATATTAGTAGGTACTAACATGAAGAAATTTGAAATACAAGGAATGGGCCTATCATGTGAATTTTTAAATCAGTTTTAAGCATCTTCACACTTCAAGAAAGATTATTATATTTAAAATATATACCTACAAGCTTTTCATTATTTTAAAATATTAAGTATACAAAAGGTCTCAAGGATTAAGTAAAACACAAGGATAGGGAATCGAAATAAATACGTAGAAAGGATATATTGCATGAGTTTTCTGTATATTATAAATACAATTGCTTGATGGATCTCCTGCCAGGAAAATCTTTATCCCAAAAATCTAAATTTCTATCTTGAGAACACCTGTTCAAAAATAAATGCCAGATAATTTATAAGAAAGCTTTAATGACATGGATCTCATAAGTTACCACCAGGACTTCACTCTTATTCACGTACAAGAAAGTTAGGAGAGTCATGACTACATTGATCACAACAAAAATGATGAGATCAATTTCATTTTTAATCAATATTTATTTCTACTCATTGCTGATATTTTTAGAAGAGTGCATTGGTCCAAGATATATAGAAAATAGCAAAGTGCTGGACATAGAGTCAGGAAGGCCTGCATTAAAATTCAGTTATCAAACACTTTTGGGTTAATCATAGCCACATTACCTAGTCTTTCTGGGCCACAGTTTCCTTATCTATAAAATGAGGGGATTGAATTCAATCGTTAAGGTCCATTCCAGCTAATAATCTATAGTCTTCTGAGTGTCATGCCAAGTAGGAAAAAGTGTACCATTGCCCAGACAAGGGTTGGAGCTGAATGAAAGTTGGCATTTTGCATATGCAATAAGCATTTTGATTACTGGAGTATGTCTTTCTGCTTGTTCAACTCCTCAGAGATATAAGTAGAAGAGCCTTGTGTCCAAAGAGAAGAACGTTTGCAGTGGCTTATAGCTGTTAATTGCTTGTAGACTATACAAAAAGCATCAGGGTATTCTCCTGAGGTTGGTAATCAGTGGAACACATGTTCATTTGGCTGATTGTGACAGAGTGTGTTGATTACTATTTAGAGTATAGAGTTTAGTGATGTGATTATTGGTGTGAGACTGGATAGTAGTGCAAGACTATGGTACAAGAGTAATATAATTATGTAGAAGCTGTTCATTAAGTTTGAGTGGTTTGCAAGCATGTCCACATTTGGATCTCTGGAGTGCTGGGTTTGTTCCTTGGACTGGCTTGGGTTTAGGAAGAATGAAGAAAGTGAAGATAAGATGGTGCATGAATTTCAGTTACTCTCATCTGTGTACTTAATAAGATTGGTTATAAACTGACTCCTAATGCCTTGTCATAAAAAGATACTAATATGCTGAAGTAATAGTGATATACAATACATACACACACACACACACACACACATACACACACATATATATATTATATATATATATATATATATATATACACATACACACATATACATTTAAACATGCTAATATATGGTATACATGCTCTCTATATGTATATATGTATGTGTTAATTTAATAAAAATAGAAAGGTGGGGGGGTGCTTTAGATGCACTTTACTTATGAAGTAGGAATAATCTGTAAATGTTTGTAGTGGAAAAAAATCAGCAAAACTAAAACATAAATAGGAAAGCCTGAGTAACAAGAAGTATCTTTCATGAATGGTCCAACTGTTGGAGTAATTTGCCTCAGACGATATTTCATTTTTTATGCACCAAATGGTATGGCATCCAAATTCTTTTCTTAACCTTCCTTTTAAAAATTAATTTATTTATTTTTAGTTTTCAACATTCACTTCCATAAGCTTTTGAGTTTTAAATTTTCTCCCCCTTCCTCTCTGCCTCCCTCCCCAAGATGGTGTGCAATCTGATATAGGCTCTACATATACATTCATATTAAATATATTTTCACATTAGGCATGTGGTAAAGAAGAATTAGGACCCATAGAAGGAACCACAAGAAAGAAGAAACAAAACAAAACAGAAAGAAAAGAAAGAGCCAATATTATGATTCTATTTGCATTCAGATTCCATAGTTCTTTCTGTGGATGTGGATAGCATTTTCCATTATGAATCTTTTGGAGATGTCTTAGATCTAAGAAGAGAAGAATTAAGTCTATCAAAGTCAGTCATCCCACAATGTGGCTGTTACTGTGTACAATGTTCTTCTGGTTCTGCTCACTTCACTCAGCATCAGTCAATACAAGTCTTTCCAGGTTTTTTTGAAGTCTGCCTGTTCATCATTTCTTATAGCACAACAGTATTCCATTACATTCATATACCACAACTTGCTCCAACAATATCTTCAACAAGGATAATGCCTCATGTCACCTGGTAATATATCTGTAATATAAGAATTCTAATTTTTAAAAATTAATTAATTTAATTAATAGTAAAAAGTAAGAAAAGTAATACCTCTGATAATATAGGAATAGAATAAGCCCATAACACAGATGTTTCTATCTAGCCCAGGGATCAAATATAATCTCTACCTTCCAGTCTCATTACTTTTTACAATTGCATACACAAAACTGATGGGAAGCAGAAGCCTATGATGTCATCATCATCATCATCATATCTTCATCATCTTCATCCAATAACAGCTTCAGCTCAGTACCTGGGTAAACAGAAAAGAGAGCCTGTTAGTGCCTTACATGGACCTCAAAGATCTATTTTTTTAATGAAAAATAAAGGACAAGAAACATCACCACCTACAAGAAAATATCTAAATTGGAGCAGTGATTATAGAAATTGTCTCCATACCCTTGGATGTCATGTAATCTCAAGCAGATGTATCCAGAAAGGGAAGACCCAAGAAGCAAAGAAGTTGCTGGCTTCTCAGGCAACTTCTCTAAGATGATAAGTTACAGATGTGCTTAATATATTATAATTGTAATCTGTAGCTATAGCCCTAAAGCATCATGATTCATATGACTTTTCTCAATCCACTAACTTGAGATAATTTGAAGCTTTCCTTTAGTAGTAACAGGAGAAAGCAAGACCATTTAAAACCATAGAAAAAGTGTGATAAATTATAACAAGTTTTATATTAAATAAAAGGAGTAGTATCCAAGTATGTGAATGTGGGCTGGATAAATGAAAGAAAACAAAACAAAATAAACAAAACAAAACAAAACAAAAAAAGCGAAGATTCAGTCCAGTTAAAAAAAATAGCAATATTTACATTCTTATCGTGTACCAGATTCTGGAGATAGAAAGACAAAATCAAAACCTGCCCCTGTCCTTGAGGATCTCATATAGAACAGGTCAATGATTTTCATCAAATATACTCAAGGGTCTCCTCTGCTTCATCCTGTGGGAAGAATAAGAGAAGGAAGGACCCTAATTAAGAGAAGGCTGTCAGCAGTGACAGGGATCAAGAATAGGATAAAAGATATCTGGCTAGGTTCTATGAGCAGGAAAGCCCTTACTCCAGGAAGCTTATTTACAGTTCTGCACCTGCAGAAATGTAATTAAATGATTTATTTAAAGGAAGACCTCATAGAGAAGATCCACTGATGTTTCTGAAATTGGCCTCATCGTTCTACAGATGCAACATAAAAAACTAAGCTGGAGTGAGAAAAACAAAGGGAATGAATCTTCCATTCAGCCATCTACTACAAACCCAGTGGTTGAAGATTCACCAGGTGTTTTTTCTGATGCATTTATATCTATGCATGACTTTGACATCTCTCCACTGAGAGATGTCCAGTGGGCTGTCTTATGTGTCTTCACTGAAGTTTTTGTTATTTTTTGTTAGTTTGTTTTATTTTGTTTGTCTGTGCCTTCAGAGGCAGGTAGTTTGGGGTTTAGGAGCAGGAATACCAAGTGGGAAGTGGTTGGAGATAAGATGAATGTTCCCCTCACAGCCTGATACAGCCCTTCCAGGTTTGCCTGATTCTAGAGAAAGGGAGCAATGACTCTTCACTGGCCTCTACAGCTGCTAAAACAAAATTTCTCTACCTATACTCACCACCCAGCACAGAGAAAGTCCTACCATAGGATACTGGCTTGCTAGTTAAATTACGATCTTTGTTAAAAGGCTGTAGATATTTATTATAGGAAGTGTATTATGTACATATATTAGAATGAATAGTACATATGTAAGGATACATCAGTGCTACAGTATGATCTTTGCGTTTCCTATTTTCGTATTTTTGGAATAACGGTAGTTGAAGGCTGCTCTATGAATCTAACACCCAATGTTGCACAGTAATAAATGAGTCATATCGGAGGCCTTGTCTGCTTCTGATACCAGCAAAACAGTACTCACTGGAGCTGGAAATTGTCCCTGGATTCTACTGCATTGACATGCAGGTGACAAATGATGAGCAGACAAATAAAACAGGAGAAAACTGCAATAAGAAAGCCAGCATATCCTTTGATCAATTTCATCTATGTGGTAGCTGGCCTCAGACCTAGTTTAAGGTGTAACATTGTTTCAAATCCATTATTAGCTATGAATTTGTCATTGATTATACATCCATGTGCAGTTTCACTAACATCATCTGCCCATTACAGCAAACATTAAATGGCAGAGCAAGATTGCCATTCAGAAAAATCCTGAAATACAGCCAGTTCTACCAGTATCCCAAATATTTTGACTGCACACATGCTTATTGAAGCATTCAAACATCATTCATTTTATTTATTTGACAGGGCAAATTTTTAAAAATAAGTTGGTACATTTATTTGATAGAATCAAACCTTTTACATTCATTAAAAATGGTCACACTTTCCAGTTATTTTTTTAAAAACAACCCATTAATTAAAGTGAACATTACGCTGTACAAGCTATTCCTTGGAATCTCTTTTAATCGGAATGATTGCTTAATTAGCATATTTTTGTTTCCATGGGGGGTGCTAATTAAGGAAATTCTATTATATTATCATCTCTTTGGTATTCTATATTGTTTCTCTATCATCAGCTAGTCAGCATTCTTGATTTCCCAGCTTTCAGAAAGATCTTGCCTGGTAAGGGCATTGTCTCCTTGAAATAAGTTTCTTCCTGGTAGGCAGTTCTAATTCTTTACAGCACTTCTGGCTTTTGTGAAAGCAAGTAAAGCATAGAATAGATCATCGGAAGTATTAGGGGCTCTAATATTGCTTAGCTACTGACTCATTTCAATTGAGAATTTATATATTCACATATATGCACACACATTATATATATATATATACATATATATGTATATATATATACATATATATATATATATATTGCTTAAAAATACTAAACAGATATTAGCTTTTATTATTTTAATTTGTGGGAGAAAACCTGAAATGTGCTCCCTCTCTTCTGTGCTACCTTGTGGAATTCCTGTTTTCAAGACTCAGCTCTGGAACCCCCTTCTACATGAAGGCTTCTCGGCTTCTCCAGTTGTTAGTGTCTTCTCTCCCTAAACTGCCTTGTATTTCTATCACATGTGTGCATGTTACCTCCCCCAAATAGAAGCTAAGCTTCTGTGACCAGGGAATGTTTTCATTTTCTCTTTGCATCCCAGCACCTAGCACATATGTGATGACTTAACAAGTGTTTATTGATTAGTGATTTACTATTTTTAAAAAATGGTTGAAAGCCCAAAGCCACATCTCACTTGTGTCCTTGGAGCCTTTCCTGAATTATTCTGTAAGTTTAGGCAAACCATTACAATTTACTGCCTTCCCAATCACAAAGCAAGTCCCTAATGAAAGAGTGTTCAAGTTAAATTATAATGAGGTGAATTTTCTTAGGCATTATCTACTAGCTTACCTTTTTGGACACTCTGACCCTTCCTTTCTCTGGTTATTCCTTCCCTCCTTAAAGTATTCAGTGACTTACCTCTGGATGTCTGTTCATCCTATTTAGATTTAAATAATAGATTTAGATTTATTAGAGATCTTCTGATCATCCAGTTCAACTCCCTCATTTTACAAATGAGGAAGCCAAGGCCCAGGGAAATTATGTGTCTTGTCTTAGTTGTTAAGCTAGTAAGTGGCCAACCTGGGATTTGATCTTTTGGCTCCAAAACCAGTGTTCTTCTACTGAAAATATTGCCCTCACTAGATTTTTATAGAGTTTCTCCTTCAAAATAATAATGCTTGCTTATATAGAGTATTATGGTTGCAAAGGGCTTTAAATAGATGATCTCATTCAGTAGTATTGACGATGATGTTAATAGTAATATTAACTTACATTTTTGTAGGAGTTAAGATTTTCAGAGTAGTTTACATATAAAATCCTGTCTAATACAATAGTTCTGTAAGGAAGGAATGGCAAGATTTTTACACATTATGAAATAGAGGCTGAGAAAGATGAGTGACTTGTTGAGTAGGATGACTATAGCTACGCTATTTTTTGTTTTTATCAGTGCTTTGGATGAAGAAATAAATCTAGTGTTTGTTAAATTTCTAGGGGATAGGAAGTCAGAAAAATTAGCTGACACACTGGTTGAGAGATTCAAGATCTGATAAAGATCATTCAAGCATAGAATGTTGAACCAATTCTAATAAGGTAAAATTTAAAATACACACATCTGTGTTTGTATATTTTAGATATAGGTTTTTATATATATATATATATATATGTATGTATATATATGTGTGTGTGTATATATATATATATATGTGTGTGTGTGTATATATATATATATATAATTTCAACTTATTAAAGTAGTAGTAGGCAGCTCTAGACACTCTAATACATGGCATAGATGAGAAAATGAAGACAAGACCAGTCATTTCATTGGTATAAAGATCTGCTGAATGAGGAAATCACTTCCACCTATTCAAGTTGGCATCTCTTCTGCAGCTTATAATCTTAGAGGGTTGCAGAGAACACAGAGCCCAAGGAACTTTCCCAAAGTCATATAGTCAGTAAATGTGAAAGTCAGGACTCTCTGATCAGCTTTTCTCATGCTGAAGATAAAAATGCTAAACTTTAAAAAAAAATCATGCGCTCAAGGAGTTTGCATTCTATTTGGATAAAGTAATTTACCTCAGGAGGTTAATGGGTGATGACCTAAATTGTTATCATTTTTCTATGTCAGGGATTGTTTTCTCTTCTCTACCATATTTCTCTGAACAAGCAGGAGAACTCACATCAGACTATGCTTTCGAGTATGTGGTAGGCACATAATGTGTAATAGTAGAGAGAGTTCTTTTCTGGGCAGCAGCAGCAGTAGCACCAGCAGCAGCAGCAGCAGCAAAGTAGTCAGCAAAATGGTCTCCAAAGGAGTCCAATAAACCCTGGAATGGGTTTGTATTTCTTTTACAATGATTACATTTTCATAAATTTAAATAAAAATTTTAATTTTAACTAGATGGTTATTATATATTGTCAATTTCTGGATAACATTTTCTCAGACTGGTGGATTGGTAAAAAGGAAAATATCTTGCTTGGTTATCTCTCATCCGATCTTTCTCCATGAGACTTTTTCATGAGTGGTCATGTTAAAACTGTCATATGCACAAAAAACTTCATTATTTGGATGATATGAAGGTAAGGATTACAAAATGCATTCCCTTTAGTCCCTGAGAAACAGTTGATGAGAGTTCTTATGAAGTTCAAAAATTAACTTGAGAAATATATAGAACATGTTGAACTTTAATAAGAAACATATCCATTTAAAATTTTAAATAAACTTTCAATTAGGTTTTGGTAAATTTGTATATTTACACTTCTGAAGTTATAACAGTTTAAATCTGCACTAAGACTTTTGGGACAATTTTTACCATAATCTGTGATTTTACTAATATTAGGTACTCCCTCTAAAGATGCAATTACTTACACCTTCTCCCATAATTATGCCCTAGAGAATCTGCTTTATGTATGTGTGTATGTGTGTATATATATTTGGTATGATTGCAGCATTCAGACTGTCTACTTATCTCTTACTCTCATTTCAAAATTATCTTTACTCTTTTCCTCAATGGTGCTTTTTACATCTCTTCTTATCCATAACTTATAATTGCTAATATGCTTCAGCCCATATACAGCCACTGTGTGTGCTTCCATTGTTCTTTGTATTAACTCTGATTTTTATCTTTCAGAGATCATGAGGTTTCTCTTTTTCCTGACATTTTTTTCCTGGATGTACCACAAACCTTGTAGTTTCACTTTACATCCTTTCACCAAGGTCGGTGCTTTGTAGAGATCTGATAGATTCTTCCAATTGTATTGTTTTTATGTTGTTGCGTTATTTTTCCTATTGTCTTTGTATTTTTGCATTCTAATTCTGTTGTCTCCTATTGAGAGAAGATATGGATAATGGGAAGCATCTCTGTATTTTGTCCTAATCTTGCCAGACCTACTCATTTCTTCCTTAAGGGCTT